GATCTCCTGTTGCAGGAATGGTATGAGGAGCATTCCAGGAAAGAGGAATCTCAGGCGCCGTTGCAAGAGCCTACACCTGCTTCCAACAGCTCTCTGAAGCCCCTGAGCCTCCGACAACGCTCCCAGACTGTCATTTAGGCCTAGCTAACGCGAGCCGCCCTCTATGCAATAACCTAGAGTATTACTTCACAGCGTATCTATTGGGACGATGTATATAGACCTGTTCGGTGTCCTGTTCGGCTTTAGGGTTTAAATCTCTTCCCCTAGGCAGTGAATTGCTGAATAACCAGAGGCCCAGGGGTCTCTGTGTGAGGCTGCTACACACAGCACGGTGCCCGTGCTCGGCACGGAGTGGACATCTCAGCCAGAACAGAGACCTTCTCCCTCTGAGCCGCTGCCCAGGCTCGAGCCTGCTGGTTGGCTTACCGCTAACGGGCCTTGGGGAAGGGGATGTGTAATCCATTAACAGCAGGAAATGCGCTGAAGCCACCTGCTTAATATTAAAACTTTTGCCCTTTTTGAAGACCTCTTTCGCTTAAGGGGTACCATTAACCTAGGTGTAAAAGATCAGGGAGTGAGTTTTTGTTTCTTCTCCACCTTCCTTATGCAAAGTCAGGGGAGGAGGTGTGAAATTTCAGCACTTTTGGAAGAGCAGTCTGCCTTTGCCCTCCTTTTTGGCGCACCTAGATGCACTCCTTGTAGTAGATCCAGCTCTGATTATCGGATTTTGCTGTCCCTGAGCAGTTCTGTGGCAGCTGGAGACAGAACCGAGGGCCGGCATCTCATCGTGTTATGACCATAGGTGGGACAGGAGTTTGGGCAGACAAACTCTGTCTCTGCTGTAGCTATCCCAGATCTGTATCACTGCTGGTCAGCTCTGCCCGGGACTGGGATCACCTCTGTAAACCCCGGAGCTCCTGTCTCTGTTCGGTGAGAGGGAGCACCCTGCAGGGTGACGGTGGCTGTTGACCTCTGCCACTTGGCCACCTGGCACCCAGAGATGGCCACTCTCTGGCTGGTCCCTAGCTCAGGTGATAGATGACTAGGAGGAAGAAATGGAAGGTTTTGCATCTCCAAGTCGGACTTACTCCTGCCTGGCTCTGCGTTAAGGAGAGCTTATGGGCACCAAGCAGTACTGCTGGTTAGTCCTCAGCCGGGTCCTGCCTGTGTTTATAGAGGTGAGCGAGTCCCAGCGCAGCAGTGTTGCTCCTTCCTCGCTCTCACCCTTGCAGAACTGTTCCTCAGGCTGGCAAATGCTGAGTCAGATGTTCGGAAGATCCGCTGAAGGGCTTTACTGTTTCCCTGCATTTTGGATGCAGGAGGAGAATGTGGAAGACAATGATTCTTCTCACCCGTCTGCTTTTCTGGAGCTGGCAAGGAGGCTGCCAGACCTGCTAGCTGAGGGATGAGAGGGAAGGGGGAAAAGGGATCCCTTCCCAGCTCCGCCACATTTATTCTGTGATCGTGGCAGGTTGCACCGTCTCTCGTGTTTCATTGCCCGCAAACGTGATGAGAACCTGCCTCTCTCCAAGTCCCCGTTTTTTCCCCTGTTTCTGGGACGCAGATCGAGGACCAAGAGTGATTTGAGTATGAAGATGTACGAGGAGGAGATACAGGTATGTGGGCCTGAGTTGGAAATACCAGCAAGGAGCAGAACGACAACCCACGCTGCTCCACGCTGGAGCCCGGCTTCCTCCACGGCCCAGGCAGCCGTGTGCTCGGGGAGGAGGGCAGCTGGTGTACTTTAGATCGATGTGTTCTTGCCCTCAGGGGCTTCTTTAAACCAGAGAGCAGGTCAGAGCCTCCTCTGGGGGGTCTGGCCTGTATCAGCCGAGCCACCGTCCCAGCCAGAAGTACCTGTCAGCTGGGAGGCTCCCCTCGCCTCTTGCTGCTGGATCTTTTCTCAGGTTCAGACTAAGAGCAGAGCTTGCTGGGGTGGTTTTCTCCTTCCTCCAGATAGATCAGGCAGTGGGAGGTCTGTGTGCCCGTTCCCTTTGTCCCCCATACCCGTTTTTCCTTGGTAGCCTCACCGCGTGGCGCAAGGACAGCAGGAGAGGACGGATCCTACCCGGGCAGCTCAGGAGCACGCCCTGGGTGGGCGAGACTTTCAAAAGTAGACGAGGCAGAACTGCTTCTGAAAACCTCTCCCTGCGTAGCGTGGTGGGAGCATTTGGGCTGTGGGATGGGAAGGGCGGGTGAGCAGCTTTCCGGGCAGCAGGCACACCAGCGTCTGCTCTCAACCCTTGCCAAATTCCCTGGGTGCCTCAGGGCAACTCTTTGTTTCTTTTCCGAGTACTGCAGGTATGAAACTACTTCTGAGCTGAACCGTGAAGGATCTTAAAGGGCTGTTTTCCAAACCATAAATTCGACCACAAATTAATGAGCAGTGCAGTTGTTGCTCTTGCCGTTGCTCTGCGTGGAGTCGTAGCCTGGGAGATTTATCCAGATTAGTCCTGGGGCTGGAGGAGATGCCGCGTGTTCTGTTTTAAATCGTGGGCAGGATGAACGAGCGTTGTGAAGGCTGGGGGGGGGGGAAAGAAAAGGTAGCTGTGTTTAAACTCCACGTTCCCCTACAGCCTGTTTCTCCTTGCAGGGCTGCCTGGGACTTTTTTTGGGTTTTTTTTTTTCTGGGTGTGAAAGGAGCTGCAGCTTTAAGCTATATGGAGGGGGGCACTAACCCGCTTAACATGCAATAACAGGGCTCTGGTGTCACACAGACCAGAGACGGGAATGCTTGGGCTGGGGGTCAGGGCTCAGGTGCTGCTTCCCTGGTTTCGTGCTGAGGTGTTGCCGTGCCCCCACGTACCCGCTGTATTAATTATTTTTGTAAACCAAGGAGGGTCGCAGAAGTTTACTTCTTCCATACGACTTTGGAGGGAAACAAAGTTTGAGTACGGGGCATCCCCTTCTATTTATCCTCCTCTCCCCCACCTGACCCACAGACTAACGACCGAGACAATCATTTTGTAGGGAGCAAGGGAGGAAGCACTGCGGGATTTTGTATGCTGGCGTTTTGTTTATGAAACGATTTTATGGACGTGTCTGTAAAATGTACTCTAGATTTTTTTCAAGCACACTAATAAAAAGCATCCTCGGCTTTGTAAAGGCAGCGGCTTCCTTTCCTCCTTCCCCTGTCATTCCAGAAGCAGGGCTTGGCGCGGCTGGAGCATTTCCACGGTGCTTGAAGAGGAGCGGTGCCCACCCTCCCTCTCCGGTAGCCACTGCTTGCCCCGGGCATATTTTACACGTGTGCCCTGCCAAGCTGCTCTGAATTCTCATTCCTGGACAGGGCAAAGCCCAGCTTCCCTTCTGCCCTCCCCCCTGCCAGGTTTTTTTCCCTAAACATTAAGAATAATGCTTTCAAACTTAGGTTTTCTAGAGCTAGCCCAAGGCAATGTTTTGGGTTAGAAGGGGTTTTTTGACCCTGTGTTGGTACGTTGGCCCGTGGTTTCGATTGCTTTAGCGCTGCTGCGTGTAACCCGGGGCTTGTCTGCCGGGATAATTCCAGCATTGCTGGTACCTTGTGAGCAGGTTTGGGGCAGAGCCAAGAGCTGCAGGCGCAGGGAGCGTTCTTTTTTGTGAAAACCCCATATCTGGCTAGAAGAAGGAGGAACGACCCAGGCCCAGGAGGCTGCTGGCACCCCTAGAAGGGCGCAGGAGCCGGGTCTGGCCGTTGTGCTTCTTGCAAAACAGCCCCTCTTCCCCCTGTGGGGCAGAAGTGGGGGTGTCCGTCCCTCACGGTGCTTCTAGCCTGCGCCCCGCGGACCCTCCGACAGGCAGCAGGAGCTCCAGCCCACCCGCTCCGCTCCCCCGTGGGCTGCCCCACC